TAAACATAAAAATAATAAATGTGGATAGTGTCCACATGTGGACACAGATGATCCCCCCGCTTGCATATCATATAGTTATAAAGGGACATAACTGAAGAACGGTAAAAGTGACGCTACCCAAATTTGAACTTGATCTGAGTTTTGTGGTAATAAGCATTGTGTGCAAGTCTCATAACATTTGGTTGAGGCTAACTTTTAAAAGTAGAGAACAGAAACTTAAAATTCAGCAATTTTTCTATTTGTAAAGACGCATAACTATAGACCGGTTGTGTATATTAAGTTTTATAACATTTGGTTGAGACAAACTAAAGTTAGAGAAAGGAAATGAAAAATTCAGCAATTATTATGTTTATAAAGGGACACAACTCAAGAATGGTAAAAGTGTTGCCACAAAATTTCGTACTTAATCTGTATTATGTAGTAATAAGCATTGTGTATAAATTTCAATAAACATTGTGTATAAGTTTCATATCATTTGGTTGAGGCACTAAAGTTAGAAAACGGAAACAAAAAATGTGTAGTTGATCTTAGTTTTGTGGTAATGAATATTGTGTATAGGTTTCATAATGTTTGGTTGGGGCAAACTTAAGTTACAGAATGGAAACTAAAAATTTTGCAATCTTTCGAGTTATAAAGGGGCATAACTCAATAATGGTTAAAAAAAAGTGACACTACCCAAATTCAACTTGATCTGTGTTTTATCAGTGGAGGTCAAAATTAAACATTGCATTGTTTAAAGCAATGACTGTAGTTGATTATAATCGTGGACAAAGGAAGATAACTCCAATTTTAATAAAAATTACTTGATATTTAGAAGAAAATAAAAAGTTTGCAATTTTTCCATTTATAAAGAGGCATAACTCTAGAACGGTTAAAGTGACGCCACCAAAATTCAAACATGATCTGTGTTTTGTGGTAATAAGCATTGTGTATAAGTTTCATAATATTTGATTGAGGTAAACTAACATTAGAGAACGGAAACTAAAAATTCGGCAATTTTTATACGACCGCAAAAAAATTTTGAGGTCGTATATTGGTATGACGTTGGCTTCGTCGTCGTCCGAAGACACATTGGTTTTCGCACTCTAACTTTAGTTTATGTGAATGGATCTCTATGAAACTTTACCTTAAGACTCAATACCACAAAAGGAAGGTTGGGATTGATTTTGGGTGTTATGGTACTAACAGTTAAGGAATTAGGGGCCAAAAAGGGGCCAAAAATAAGCATTTTTGTAACTTCCAGACATAACTTGTGTGTTAGTGTATGGATCTCTCTGACATTGTACCACAAGGTTCCATATCACAAAGGGAATGCTGGGATTGATGTTGGGGGTAATTGCCTCAAAATTTTAGGAATTAGGGGCAAAATAGGGGCAAAAAACAAGCATTTTTCAAGTTTCATGACAATAACTTGTGTGTAAGTGTATGGATCTTTCTGAAATTGTACTACAAGGTTCCATATCACAAAGGAAAAGCTGGAATTGAGTTTGGGGGTAATTGCCCAAAACGCTTAGGAATAAGGGGGCAAAAAGGGGCCAAAAATAAGCATTTTTCTAGTTTCCAGACAATAACTTGTGTTCAAGTGTATGGACCTCTCTAAAATTGTACTGCAAGGTACCATACCACAAAGGGAAAGCTGGGATTGATTTTGGGGGTAATTGCCTCAAAATTTTAGGAATTAGGGGCCAAAAAAGGGGTAAAAAACAAGCATTTTTCTAGTTTCATGACAATAACTTGAATGTGTGTAAGTGTATGGATCTTTCTGAAATTGTACTACAAGGCTCCATATCACAAAGGAAAAGCTGGAATTAAGTTTGGGGGTAATTGCTCAAAACGCTTAGGAATAAGGGGGCAAAAAGGGGCCAAAAATAAGCATTTTTCTAGTTTCCAGACAATAACTTGTGTTCAAGTGTATGGATCTTTCTGAAATTGTACTGCAAGGTACCATACCACAAAGGGAAGGCTGGGATTGATTTTGGGGGTAATTGCCTTAAAATTTTAGGAATTAGGGGCAAAAAACAAGCATTTTTCTAGTTTCAGAACAATAACTTGTGTGTAAGTGTGTGGATCTTTATGAAATTGTACTACAAGGTTCCATGTCACAAAGGGAAAACTGGGTTTGAGTTTTGGGGTAATTGCCCTAAACGTTTAGGAATTTGGGGCCAAAAAGGGGCCAAAAAACAAGCATTTTTCTAGTTTCTAGACAATAACTTCAAGTGTATGGATCTTTCTGAAATTGTACTGCAAGGTACCATACCACAAAGGGAAGGCTGGGATTGATTTTGGGGGTAATTGCCTAAAAATTTTAAGAATTAGGGGCAAAAAACAAGCATTTTTCTAGTTTCAGGACAATAACTTGTGTGTAAGTGTGTGGATCTTTATGAAATTGCACAACAAGGTTCCATGTCACAAAGGGAAAGCTGGGTTTGAGTTTGGGGGTAATTGCCCTAAACGTTTAGGAATTTGGGGCCAAAAAGGGGCCAAAAAACAAGCATTTTACTAGTTTCCAGACAATAACTTCAAGTGTATGGATCTTTCTGAAATTGTACTGCAAGGTACCATACCACAAAGGGCAGGCTGGGATTGAGTTTTGGGGTGATGAATCATAAGGGGGTTCAAAAAATTGGGGGGGTTTCCTTTTTTCCTTTTTTTTTTCTTTTAAATTTTCAATTTTCAATTGGTTATTTCTGATTTATATATAAGAGCAAATAATAATGATATGGTTTGAATAGGTAAATTAAATTTTTTTAAGTTCTTAGACCACATTCATTCTGTGTCAGAAACCTATGCTGTGTCAAATATTTAATCACAATCCAAATTCAGTGCTGTATCAAGCTTGAATGTTGTGTCCATACTTGCCCCAGCTGTTCAGGGTTCGACCTCTGCGGTCGAATCAAGCTGCGCAAGCGGAGCATTTTATTCCATTTGTAAAGGGGCATAACTCTAGAACGGTAAAAGTGACGCCACCAAAATTCAAACTTGATCTGTGTTTTGTGAAAATAAGCATTGTGTATAAGTTTCATAACATTTGGTTGAGGCAAACTAAAGTTGGAGAATGGAAACGATAAATTCAGCAATTTTCCATTTGTAAAGGGGCATAACTCTAGAACGGTAAAAGTGACACCATCAAAATTCAAACTTGATCTGTGTTTTGTGGTAATAAGCATTGTGTATTATAAGTTTCATAACATTTGGTTGAGGCAAACTAAAGTTAGAGAACGGAAACCAATTTTGGGACGTACGTACGTACGTACGAACGTACAGACGGACAAGGGTAAAACCGCTACGGCGGGGGCATAAAAATAGCATTAATAACTTTAAAATTGCCAAGCACCAACTTGTGATAACTGAGATGTTAACATCTTACTTACAGACTTGCACCATAAATTCCCTTTATATAATTAGCATTAATTGGTCCCTTTGATAATCATATATTCTTAAAATATATTATTATTCTCATGTGTTGTTGGTTTATGTTGCTGGATGTAATATTTGGTTTTTCACTCTCTATTTATCTTAAATTGTAAATGCTCTTTTGTTCAGACGTTGGAAAGTTCCGGGCGGAAAGAACTAACTAGCCGAAAAGTTCCGGAGGAACTTAATTATTAACTAGTTACTTTGTTCTTCTTCTGGTTTAAAGTGACTAGTTGAAAAGTTCCAACGGAACATATCAACTAGTAAGAAAGTTCCTTTTTGCCAAATTAGTCAAAACCGGAACTAACAAACTAGCCCAAAAGTTCCAACGGAACTTATCAACCAGGCAGAAAGTTCCATTTGGAGAATTGGTGCAAAGTAAAAGCGCAACATATTATATTTGAACTTCTCAAAGGGAAACCAAGATACTGATTACAAAAGTCAAAAGGAACTTATCAACTAGCCACAAAGTTCCTCTTTGGCAATTAAGTCAAAACCGGAACCTGGGACTATTATACTAACGGGACTGGAAACCGTTACACCAATCAGTGTAATAATATCAACATCACTAACTAGCCTAAAAGTTCCAACGGAACTTACCAACCAGTCACAAAGTTCCATTTGGAGAATTGATGCAAAGAACCACATGAGGAGGGGGGTATTCTTCCCTCTCTTGAGGGTACTATGAATACTAAATTTGCATGATAATGCAACTTATTCCGTTTTATGTGAGCTATGAAATACAACTTAAATTTTGCATATTTGTCCCCAAAGAAACCCCTTTCAGTGCGTGGTATTCTTGTAAATTAATGATTTGCTCTTATATATACTGATACTCATTCTTCCCCCTCTTTCTACAAAAAGGACGAAATATGGTATATTCGGAACGATGTAACTAGTTACTAGTTGAAAAGTTCCGTCGGAACAAAATAACTGACGGAACATAGTGGCTGTTACAAAATTGGGCGTCTGGTTTCTCGTTTGTATTGTGTTAAATTTGTTCATGTTGGGGTATTTTATAACATTCTATAAGGTACGGATTTTACTAATTGTTAAAGGTCGTACAGTGACCCATAGTTGATAACATTCATGTCATTTGTCTTTGGCGGATAATTGTCTCATTGCTTATCATACCACCTTTCTTTATTTTTAAGAAGCCGCCGGCTAGCGCACCTAATCACACCTTGGTTTTTATCAGTCTGTATTGCTCATTTATTGTATTCTGTCTTTTGTTGTCTTAGCTTTTATTTTTTAGTGTTGGCAATGCAAAATATAGTTCATAATCTTTTCTGTTGTGTGTTGTCTTGATGAAACCTGATATATGCAAAAGAGAGGCAGAAGATACCAAAGGGATAGTCAAACTCATAATTCGAAAAAAGAACTGACAATGCCTTGGCAAAATATGAAAAACAACTAATAGACAAACAACAGTCTACACAACACAACATAGGAAATAGTCACAGAACGACCTTTGCAATTGTTCAGTAACAAATATCCTACTAGTTGACAATGTATCTCATTTCTTTTTTTCTTAACTGTCTCTTGAATAGCTTTATCATCAACAAAGAACTATGACATAAGTAATCAAACATACAAATTAATTTTATTATAAACTTTAAAATTGTCAATTTGTAATAACTGAGATTTCAACATCATACATCATTACTTTATGTAATCAGCATTAATTGGTCCCTTTATAATCATGATTTTTTTTTAATTCTTATTATTCTCAGATGTTATTCTGTCATTAAGGTAGTCCAATCGATAGAAAATCCTGTAGCAAAATTTGGATCTCAAATGAATGGTATCATTTTTCACACTCTAATATATATAAATGCAACTCATTTGCAAGAAATTTCATTTACCATAAATAATACATTTCGTAATGTCTTATAGTAGAAATTTGAATAACAAATCTATTATAGTTTTCAAGATAATATCCCCAAAAAACAGAGAATGTGAACAAAATTGTAATTATGACTTAAAAGATTTGATGTCTCCTTGGTATCTTACACATCTTTTTTAAAGAGAAATAAGCTTTCTGTCTGCTTTAGTTCTCACCAAAAACAGGTAACAAATGTAATTGAAGGGCAATAACTCTTATATTGAGTGGGCTAATGATCTCAGTCATGTTGAATTATTTGTAAATTTTGTCAAGCTGATAAATATTGGTGTGTAGAGATTCTTTCTTTCTTTCATAGTTTTTAAGGTTTAAAAGCCAAAGTGTTTAATGAAAACCATCCCATCAAACTTTCTTTTATAACTCTATATATACTTTTCCTTTGTATCACCTATTTGTGTGTTTTTCCTATGGAAAATAGTTTTTTTTTCTTCTAAAGTACAACTTGGTACATGTACATGAAATACAATATATTACAATTTTAAACATACGTCTTAATAGTCAAACTGTCAATAAACATGTATATTAATACCAACTAGCCTTTAGAGGCTTATGATGCACTGTCGTTTGATTACGAAATATTATATAAATAAATTTTAAAAACTTTTAACACAGAGATATGTCTCCCCTATTTGTTATATTGATAATGCAAATGTTGAAATTAAAATAGCAATACTTTAACATGTAAATTATGTAAATATTCAAAGTCAATGAACCATGACTGAAGGTACAGGGCTAAACAATCTCCATGGAAATGAGATGTGCCAATGCTAATACAACTGCAAACCAAATACCATTGACTTTTCACAAATCCTTCCCTTTAAACAAACCTAAACACAAACATTAACTTATAAACTATGTAAAATTTCAAAGTCAATGAACCATAATTAGGGGGTGGGGTTATATAATCTCCATGCAAAAGAAACTTGCAAATGCCAATACATTTGCATACCGAATATCATTGACTTAACATTAGTGGTTCATCTTAAACTGTTGTAAACTAAGCAAAAGTTTCAAAGTCAATAGACCATGACTTAGGGGTAAGGACCAAATATATGGAAATGAGATGTGCTAATGCTTATACAACTGCATACCATTTATCATTGACCTACCACTAACGGTTCCCCTTAAACTGACTAAAATCACAAACTAATACATGAAAACTTAGCAAAAGTTTCAAAGTCAATAGACCATGAATGAGGGAAGGGGCCAAATAATCTCCATGGAAATGAGATATGCCAATGCTTATACAACTGCATACCAAATATCATTGACCTACTACTTGTGGTTCCCTATAAACTGACCTAATCACAAACTAATACATGTAAACTAAGCAAAGTTTCAAAGTCAATAGACCTTGACTGAGGGGGCGGGGCCAAATAATCTCCATGGTAATGAGATGTGCCAATGCTAATACAACTGCATACCAAATATCATTGACCTACCACTAGTGGTTCACCATGAACTAGACCTAATCACAAACTAATACATTGTTGACGCCGCCGGAAACAGCCTACCTATGTCTTGCTTTTTGACTCCGTCAAGGCGAGAAAAAAATCATATTGAAATCATATATAATCTTTATGAATTTTGCACAAATTGAAGCTTTCAAACAAGCCTCATGACATGGACTTTTTATCATGTTTCTTTTAAACATTTAACAGTAATATATAAATTTTGACAAACTGTCAAATAATTCTGTAATTTTTTGTTCATACCATAGACTACATTAAAGTGTTTGTAATAACATACACTATATAACAAGATAACTCTTAAAAAGATATAAAGCAAGACATTTTCAAATGATTTTAAGATATAATGCAAACATCAGACTAAGAGAAGCACAAAAATTAGGATATTCTGAATACATGTATATATATATATTTATGAATGAAAGCATGCTTTACAGCATTAAAACACTATATGTACAAATATTACATCAGGAGAGCTGCTAAACAGAACAAGAGATTAAAGTTTTTAACAGTTTGAGTCTGATATTTCCTTTTTGAATGTCCTAAAGCATGTAAAGTGCAAAATCTCTGACATTGTGATTCAGAAGTTCTTGCATGTTGAACTTGTTCACAAAAAGCAGTAGTTTCAACCATTTAACCAAACCTGAATTGAAGTCTAATAAATTTGCAACATAAAATGGATGTGCTTCCTCCTGTTTATAAATATTTATTCTGCTGTTTTATTGCCATCTGTTATGTCATCTTATATTCATAAAGGGAATGGAATGATTTGTGAAGAATTCAATTTAGATTTACACCATACTGGGGTTTCATTGTTTATGACTAGATACTTAAATTTAAGATTTCACAGCATTATGGTTGTTCACAACAGTCAAGCAGTAATAAGATCTAACTTTTTAGCCCATTCACACAAACTGTGATGCCCTAAACTTTCAAAATATTCTAAGTGTGCTTTTGAAAGACTGATTCCTTCTTTTGGTGGAATTTTGCAAATGCTTTCTTTGTCATCAACACACTCAACATGATAGTGTACTTTAATAAAACGTAATTGTCTTTGTCCAACAGAAAAATAATCTTTTGGTATATGTCTTCTGAAAACAAAATCCTTTGGAGGTCTTATTGGCCTGTCAAATTTTCCACCACATTCTTTGCATATTCTTTGCTTATAAAGTTTACACAATAAAAATGGTGACTCTATTCTACTGCTTTTTCTGGTTCTAGTTTCTTCCTGTAAGTAAATGTATATGTTATGTCTCTTTAATTATCATGATCATAAGCAATTAAAAGTGAATCGGATATTTTAATTTTCATGTTTTTTAAGATAATTAGGTACTGAATTGATAAAATTCCTTGCTTTTTAATCTAACTGTAATTAAAACAAGCATTCTGAGAGTATTGCATGGCAATACATAGTCCCCTACCGGGTAACAATTCATTATACTGGAACAAAATGCTAACTTGTTCTATAACTTGTCATGTTTTTGGACTCCGGCAAGGTGAGACAAAAACAGTGTGGAAAACTGAATATATGAGTGAATTTTTTCAAGTCCAAGGACCATAAATCTGCACAAAATTATCAGACCGAAACAAAAATTTGAACTTGATCTGTAACTTGTCATGATAAAACTATATACCAATTGTCAATCAATATCTTCAAGCAAGATGAAAAAAAGTGTGGAAAACCTATTACACTCTAACATTAGATATGATTAATAGTTCTCTAAAATTAGATATGATGTAATACAATGTATATCTATTTTCAAATTACAATCAAATATAATTAATAGTTCCAAATAGTTGTCACAAACTAATATAGATTTGTAACTTATCTATAAAATGTCAACAACTTTTATCTACACAATGTAATGTAATGAAATATATACCTTGATAAAGATATATTATTATCTAATTAAAAGATTTCACTTAATAAAAAAAAATATATATATATATATACATGTAGCATTCAGAAAATTAGTTTATACAAAATAACATATAAACCTGCCACAAAATTCCTCAAACAATTTAACAAAGAATGTCTTTTAAAAAATGAGTTATCTCCCTTTGTACAGATATATGGTTTAACATAGTACTCTTAACATTAGTTATGGAGTTTTTTTATGGACCATAACTCTGGACTTAATCATCAGACCAGGAACAAAATTCGAACTTGATCTATAAATTGTCATGATAAAACTATATACCAAATATCAAATCAATATCTTCAAGAACGAATAAAATAAAATGCTCCGCTGGGGGCGCAGCTTGATATGACCACAGATATCAAACCCTGAACAGTTGGGGCAAGTATGGACACAACATTCAAGCTTGATACAGCACTGAATTTGGATTGTAATTAAATATTTGACACAGCATAGGTTTCTGACACAGAATGAAAGTGGTCTAAGAACTTAAAAATTTGTAATTTACCTATTCAAACCATATCATTATTATTTGCTTTTATATATAAATCAGAAATAACCAATTTAAAATGGAAAATTTTAAAGAAAAAAAATTAAAAAAAAATCCCCCCCAAATTTTTTGAACCCCCTTATGATTCATCACCCCCAAACTCAATCCCAGCCTTCCCTTTGTGGTATGGTACCTTGCAGTACAATTTCAGAGAGATCCATACACTTGAACACAAGTTATTGTCTGGAAACTAGAAAAATGCTTGTTTTTGGCCCCTTTTTGGTCCCAAATTCCTAAACGTTTAGGGCAATTACCCCCAAACTCAAACCCAGCTTTCCCTTTGTGATATGGAACCTTGTAGTACAATTTCATTAAGATCCATACACTTGCACACAAGTTATTGTCCTGAAACTAGAAAAATGCTTGTTTTTTGCCCCTTTTTTGCCCCTAATTCCTAAACTTTTGAGGCAATAACTCCAAAAATCAATCCCAGCCTTCCCTTTGTGGTATGGTATCTTGCAGTACAATTTCAGAGAGATCCATACACTTGAACACAAGTTATTGTCTGGAAACTAGAAAAATGCTTATTTTTGGCTCCTTTTTGGCCCCTTATTCCTAAACGATTTGGGCAATTAACCCCAAACTCAATTCCAGCTTTCCCTTTGTGATATGGAAGCTTGTAGTACAATTTCAGAAAGATCCATACACATACACACAAGTTATTGTCATGAAACTAGAAAAATGCTTGTTTTTTGCCCCTAATTCCTAAAATTTTGGGGCAATTACCCCAAAAATCAATCCCAGCCTTCCCTTTGTAATATGGTATCTTGCAGTACAATTTCAGAGAGATCCATACACTTGAACACAAGTTATTGTCTGGAAACTAGAAAAATGCTTATTTTTGGCCCCTTTTTTCTAAACGTTTTGGGCAATTAACCCAAAACTCAATTCCAGCCTTCCCTTTGTGATATGGAACCTTGTGATACAATTTCAGAGAGATCCATAGACTTACACACAAGTTATTGTCATGAAACTAGAAAAATGCTTGTTTTTTGCCCCTTTTTGGCCCCTAATTCCTAAAATTTTGAGGCAATTACCCCCAAAATCAATCCCAGCATTCCCTTTGTGATATAGAACCTTGTGGTACAATGTCAGAGAGATCCATACACTTACACACAAGTTATGTCTGGAAGTTACAAAAATGCTTATTTTTGGCCCCTTTTTGGCCCCTAATTCCTAAACTGTTGGTACCATAACCCCCAAAATCAATCCCCACCTTTCTTTTGTGGTATTGAACCTTATGGTAAAATTTCATTGAGATCCATTCACTTAAACTAAAGTTATTGTGCGAAAACCAATGTGTCTTTGGATGACAACAACGACGACGCCAACGTCATACCAATATACGAGCCGTCGTATATAAAAGGTTAAAAATTTATACTATTAAAGGAAAATATCTCCTAAACAGAGTTAATTGATGATTTCTGTTGTGTTGACTTACTTGTAAATCTTTTTTTAATGTTTACAGTTTCTCTCAAGCTATTATCATGATTATAGATTGGAAGAAAATAGACACAACTGCCTTTAACTTAACGTTTAAGGGCAATAACTCCTACAATGTTCTAGGAATTGACTGACAATTTAGTTTTTTTAACTTCAAATTACTGTAAACTAAATAATTTTCGCAAGAAGAAAAATTAAGGCGAATATAAATCATGGCCAATATTTAAATCTTTGGTCTTCCCTTGTCTAAATACTAGTTATAGACTAACTGAACTTCATTTATTTTGTGTTCGTTTGTTGATAATCCTGCTTACCTATATATAATACCATGCATACTTACAGTCTTCTTTTTTATACTTTGAAGGATCTCCAGTGACTGTGATGTAGTATCTTCGATATTTTGAATTCTGATGTTCTCCTCATCATCAATTTTTAAATTCTTAATTCTTTTAACTTCCTGCTTGAATCTTTTACCTCCAAGTCTAACTAAAGCCTATAACAAATTTGTATTTGAAAATACACAAATAAACAAGGAATATGTGTACATTTTGTTAAAAACTGAAAACTAAAAACTAAAAATGTTTTGTTAATGATGTTCACTATAAGGTAAAAATGTCAAAAACAGTATACATGGTATAGTTTTTTTTCTTTCTTCAAACATTTACAATAAAATGCTCCACTGGGCGCAGCTTGATACGACCGCAGAGGTCAAACCCTGAACAGTTGGGGCAAGTATGGAAACAACATTCAAGCTTGATACAGCACTGAATTTGGAATGTGATTAAATATTTGACACAGCATAGGTTTCTGACACAGAATCAATGTGGTCTAAGAACTTAAAAATTTGTAATTTACCTATTCAAACCATATCATTATTATTTGCTTTTATATATAAATCAGAAATAACCAATTAAAAATGGTAAATTTTAAAGAAAAAAAAAAGGAAACCCCCCCCCCCCCCCCTTATGATTCATCACCCCAAACTTAATCCCAGCTTTCCCTTTGTGGTATGGTACCTTTCAGTACAATTTCAGAGAGATCCATACACTTGAACACAAGTTATTGCCTGGAAACTAGAAAAATGCTTGTTTTTTGGCCCCTTTTTGGCCCCAAATTCCTAAACGTTTAGGGCAATTACCCCCAAACTCAAACCCAGCTTTCCCTTTGTGATATGGAACCTTGTAGTACAATTTCATTAAGATCCATACACTTGCACACAAGTTATTGTCCTGAAACTAGAAAAATGCTTGTTTTTTGCCCCTTTTTTGCCCCTAATTCCTAAAATTTTGAGGCAATTACCCCAAAAATCAATCCCAGCCTTCCCTTTGTGGTATGGTATCTTTCAGTACAATTTCAGAGAGATCCATACACTTGAACACAAGTTATTGTCTGGAAACTAGAAAAATGCTTATTTTTGGCTCCTTTTTGATCCCTTATTCCTAAACGTTTTGGGCAATTACCCCCAAACTGAAACCCAGCTTTCCCTTTGTGATATGGAACCTTGTAGTACAATTTCATTAAGATCCATACACTTGCACACAAGCTAGTGTCCTGAAATTAGAAAAATGCTTGTTTTTTGCCCCTAATTCCTAAAATTTTGAGGCAATTACCCCAAAAATCAATCCCAGCCTTCCCCTTGTGATATGGTATCTTGCAGCACAATTTCAGAGAGATCCATACACTTGAACACAAGTTATTGTCTGGAAACTAGAAAAATGCTTATTTTTGGCCCCTTTTTGGCCCCTTTTTTCTAAACGTTTAGGGCAATTACCCCCAAACTCAAACCCAGCTTTCCCTTTGTGATATGGAACCTTGTGATACAATTTCAGAGAGATCCATAGACTTACACACAAGTTATTGTCATGAAACTAGAAAAATGCTTGTTTTTTGCCCCTAATTCCTAAAATTTTGAGGCAATTACCCCAAAAATCAATCCGAGCCTTCCCTTTGTGGTATGGTATCTTGCAGTACAATTTCAGAGAGATCCATACACTTGAACACAAGTTATTGTCTGGAAACTAGAAAAATTCTTATTTTTGGCTCTTTTTTGGCCCCTTATTCCTAAACGTTTTTGGCAATTAACCCCAAACTCAATTCCAGCTTTCCCTTTGTGATATGGAACCTTGTAGTACAATTTCATTAAGATCCATACACTTGCACACAAGTTATTGTCCTGAAACTAGAAAAATGCTTGTTTTTTGCCCCTAATTCCTAAACTTTTGAGGCAATAACTCCAAAAATCAATCCCAGCCTTCCCTTTGTGGTATGGTATCTTTCAGTACAATTTCAGAGAGATCCATACAATTGAACACAATTTATTGTCTGGAAACTAGAAAAATGCTTATTCTTGGCTCCTTTTTTGCCCCTTATTCCTAAACGTTTTGGGCAATTACCCCCAAACTCAAACCCAGCTTTCCCTTTGTGATATGGAACCTTGTAGTACAATTTCATTAAGATCCATACACTTGCACACAAGTTATTGTCCTGAAATTAGAAAAATGCTTGTTTTTTGCCCCTAATTCCTAAAATTTTGAGGCAATTACCCCAAAAATCAATCCCAGCCTTCCCTTTGTGGTATGGTATCTTGCAGTACAATTTCAGAGATATCCATACACTTGAACACAAGTTATTGTCTGGAAACTAGAAAAATGCTTATTCTTGGCTCCTTTTTGGCCCCTTATTCCTAAACGTTTTGGGCAATTACCCCCAAACTCAATTCCAGCTTTCCCTTTGTGAAATGGAAGCTTGTAGTACAATTTCAGAAAGATCCATACACTTGCACACAAGTTATTGTCCTGAAATTAGAAAAATGCTTGTTTTTTGCCCCTAATTCCTAAAATTTTGAGGCAATTACCCCAAAAATCAATCCCAGCCTTCCCTTTGTGGTATGGTATCTTGCAGTACAATTTCAGAGATATCCATACACTTGAACACAAGTTATTGTCTGGAAACTAGAAAAATGCTTATTTTTGGCTCCTTTTTGGCCCCTAATTCCTAAACATTTTGGGCAATTAACCCCAAACTCAATTCCAGCTTTCCCTTTGTGATATGGAAGCTTGTAGTACAATTTCAGAAAGATCCATACACGTACACACAAGTTATTGTCATGAAACTAGAAAAATGCTTGTTTTTTGCCCCTTTTTTTCCCCCTAATTCCTAAAATTTTGAGGCAATTACCCCCAAAATCAATCCAAGCATTCCCTTTGTGATATGGAACCTTGTGGTACAATGTCAGAGAGATCCATACACTAACACACAAGTTATGTCTGGAAGTTACAAAAATGCTTATTTTTGGCCCCCAATTCCTCAAATGTTGGTACCATAACCCCCAAAATCAATCCCAACCTTCCTTTTGTGGTATTGAACCTTATGGTAAAATTTTATAAAGATCAATTCACTTAAACTAAAGTGAAAGTGCGAAAAACCAATGTGTCTCTGGACGACAACGATGTCGCCAATGTCATACCAATATACGATCACAAAATTTGTTTGCGATCGTATAAAAATGGAATATTGAATAATTATTTGTAGTTAGCAAACTGTTGAAATTTATCGAAATAAGTGTAAAATTTTTGCTGATACATTATTGACTTGCAAGACAATAATTGAACGTATGATTTGGATTGATATGCATTAAATTCAAACTTTAATGTGAGCATTTGCCTACCCAGTTCCCCAGCCTGGCTGTGACGGGACTTACTCCAAGAAAGTTAAACATGAATAAATACAATGCAATAAAACATATGTACACACCCACTCACCTGATTTACTTATCCTCAAAATATAAAAGTGTAAAATAAAAGTGCAAAATATATACAAAATAAGAGAAAAGGTCACTCGGATGCCGCACAAATGCCATGGCAAAGAACGGGGTACATGTATTACAGGACATACTTGGATTCCAAACCGATACCGCTAAATGCCCAGATGTTTTCCTGGTAGAGGAAAGCCGAAAAAATCCTACGATAAAGGATCTCAGAAAGAAACAACCTATCCATTAGGGGAACAGCTAAAACCCTCAGACATCAAATAGATTGGTCTGATAGTTTCCCACGTGAAACTACTAATAGATCCCATCTGACCGCATGTCTCAAACAAACCTCAAAAAATTTGCAGTAACTTTCCAACAAAAAAATATAATCTAAAACATAAAATATACGATGTAAGGATAATATTAATAATTGAAACCCATTTGGACAAAACAGTTTCAATGATGTTGACGGATTCTCTCTGCAAAAAATTTTCATGTCCGCTTTCATCGGCATGCTCAACTAACTATATATGAAATTTAACAGAATAATTGTCATAATGCTATATTGCACATACAATCTACATTAAACTGTTTATATTTATCTATTTATATTCATATTGGAGTCTCTATGGTTAGTTGTAAACTGCATGTGAGCACAAATGAAAAGTTCCTTCCCCAATACTATCCTCTTTTTCTTGGTTTACATAATCAATTTTTAAATCAGTCTCATCAGTTAATTTAATACTTATATATGTATAGTTATAATCATGATAATATAACTTCCTACATGCAAGATCCCCTTAGATTCTGAGTCTTTTTCTATAAGGATTATAAATAGCCAATTCCTTTTTTCTCATACATGTCATACCTACCTCTGATAAATCTTTAAATTCCTTATTGAAATTTTTTATCTTTTCTTGTCCCATATGAGAGAACTTATTTCTGTGTTGGTGTATCCTTTCAATGTCATCTGATTCAGTTAAATCACCAGGATTTGGCCAAACATTCCATCCTTGCTGTGGTGGAGGAAGTACTAATGTGTTTCTACATAATTTGTAAAGCAAGCTAATATCAAATTCATTTGATGATACTGCTTTGCCTGAAATAATTTAAACTAATACATGCTAATAAGACAAGAAGGCCTGTATCAGTTACATACCTACATGACCTAAGAAAAATCACATTCAATGCTAGCTAGAAAGTATATGAGGATTTGGCTAAATATTAAAGCTTCAAATGTTCGTCCATTCAGAAGAAATATCAAATTTAAATTCATTTATTTAACTGCTCAAACTCTATGTGTATATGTATACATATAAATTATATTACCATATAAACCTGTTAACACAGATCAGAGGCAGATTTAGGGGTGGGCCCACGGTGCCTGGGCACCCCCTTATGGAGCTACATATATATGGTTAGTGCATAGGCTTTTTACATAACTCCCACTCCAAATGTTGCTTACTTTGTGGGCCCCTTCCCCCATCCCCCCCTTTTCAATCTTAAATTCCACATCTGCAGATCTAGAGATGTGATATCACCTGCTTTACATCGCAATCAAAAACGGTGATTTGGTTATATGCAATATCACTGTAGTTGACATCCTCTTTTAAGTTTTTTTCCTAAGCTTATGAATAAAGTACTGCATTAAAATAATAACTTCAAATTTGGCTGATGTTTATGGCAGAAAAATACGCTTTACAAATTATATACTTGCAGATGTCTTGCCTGCTTTGCTGATCATGAGTGAATCTTATGTTGAAAGTCATTGAGAAATTCATATGACAAGCAGTCACTGAACCATGAAAATGAGATGAGGGTTAAAAGATGAAAACTATACATACCTACTGGAAATAGAATCTTCATTTGATGATATTTACAATCCCACTTAAATTTCAAGTCACTTTTGTATTTTAAAAGATGCACACTAAGTTGGCCAGGTGGAACATGTGTATCAAAATAAGTCTTCAATGCTTCTGTTCCCTTATCATTCAGGAGTTTATAACGTATTTTGTTTTTTTCATCTAAAATAAAAAATAAAATAAAATTTACTTAATCAACATGATGATCAAGATGACATTCAGACTTTATCGGGTTTATAAACCATTACTTATATATATATATATGTTCTTCTATATGTACAGAGAGTCATGTGAAGAACTATATATATATATGGAAGCTAGTCATTTGGTACCTTAACCATTTCTTACCATTGCCATTTTGTACACAAAATTACCCTTAAGCACCATGAATTTGTTATTAGTACCCATGGACAAAACCATTTCATGCAGTATTGGTTAATGGCCTATGCCATTTCGTACCATATAGACTAAAAACATCCTTAGTCTAAATAAATACCCTGCCATGTCTGGTCTGTGTTTTTCTTTATATGTTTTTCTGCTTTGTATGGATCTGATGAGTTAAGCCCTTTTCAACTGAATTTTATAGTTTGTTCTTATGTTGTACTGTTACACCACTGTCCCAGGTAAGGGGGAGGGTTTGGCACCAGAAAACTAGTTAAATACATGCTGTAGGTGCCTGTCCATAGTCAAGTGCCTGTAATTCAGTGGTTGTCCTTTGTTGCTGTATATCATACTTGTTTTTCTCAAATTGTTTTGTTATAAATCAGGCTGTTAGATTTCTCGTTTGAAATGTTTTGCCATTTCTGGGCCTTTTATAGCTGACTGCGGTATGGGTTTTGCTCATTGTTGAAGGACGTACAGTGACCTATAGTTGTTAACTTCTATGTCATTTGGTCACTCATTGGCAATCATACAACATCTTCTTATTTTTATAAAAAGCATTTCAAGTCATATATATTTGGATATTGTTAAAATTTTTATAATATGAACTAAATCATTGTTTGTCATAAATATAACAGGACATATTCAATATGGTTCATTTGTAGTTTGATTAAATCCTTGAACAAGTAATTTTCAGTCAGTCAACATGAATAAATTATGTACATAAGCTTTACAGCCGATTGCATTGAGGCTTGCTTGCTACCTGAACCTTGAAGTCATTATTAGGTTAGGTAAACTACCCTCCTTTAAGAGTAGTCTAGTCCTACAGATAACCAATCAATCTGTCTGTTGGACTAGGCTACTTCGAAAGGAGGGTAGTGTACCTTACCTGATACATGTGATAATGACTTCACGTTTCGGCTAGCAAGCAAGCTAACCAAAGATATTATCTTTGCCCACACACTCAATGCAATCGGCTGTAATTCATAAATGTATTTCGTCAAAAATTACAGCACATATGCCATGTTTGTACTATTAGAGATTTCCCTTTCATCAGAATAAATGACAAAATTATGGGGATCAAAAGTAAATATGCCCAGAACATGCTGAAGATTAAGGTGGGACATGAACAAGAAAGAATACGATTGAATTAACAAGAAACATTTTAGTTATTAAAATAAACCCTACCAACATGATAAAGAAATGGTCAACATGGTCAAAGTCCTGTTACTTCACTAAAAATTGTCAAATCAACATGGCAGTAAAATATGGTCAACTTCACATGATGGCATGCAAATTGATGCAGTAGTACCAAGTATGAAAGGTTTCTGTCAAATGGTCTCAGAGGAGTTGCGTTCACAAGGGATTACTGTGTCAATACTAATAAACTGCTTCGTTGAGCGCAGCTGGATACCCCCGCAGAGGTCCAACCCTGAACAGTTGGGGCAAAAATGGACACAATATTCAAGCTTGATACAGGTCTGAATTTGGATTGTAATTAAATATTTGACATATTATAGGTTTCTGAATAAATGTAGTCAAAGAACTTGAAATTGGTTATATGAATTGAATTTATATTCAAATAAAGATTTCTTGCTGTTGTGCAATACTAATAGTAAATCTGTTGTCAGACTATAAACAAATAAAGTTCAATTTCTTCTCAATGTCATACCGGTATTTGAAATTTATGAAAATCAATAGGGAGATTACATCAATAGCTATAAATAATTCACCAAAGTTTCATGAGAAATGCTGAAAGCATTTTTGAGTTATTGTCCAAAAACTGGAAAATCCCCCTTTTTTAATGAATAAAACCCCATAACTCAGAAATGTAAAATCTAAAATTTATAAAATTCTAAAGGGAGCTTACATCAACAGATATAAACAATTCACCAAAGTTTCATGAGAACTGCTGAAAGCATTTTTTAGTTATTGTCCGAAAACTGGAAAATCCCCTTTTTTTATGAATAAAACCCTGTAACTCCGAAACGTAAATTCTAAAATTTATAAAAATCAAAAGGGAGCTCATGTCAATAGATATAAACAAAATTCCTTGCAAGTTGGTGAAAGCATTCTTGAGTTATTGTGGGAAAACTGGAAAATCCCCCCTTTTTTAATGAATAAAACTCCAAAACTTGGAAACGGTAAATCTGAAATTTATAAACTAGAGGCTCTAAAGAGCCTGTGTCGCTCACCTTGGTCTATGTGCATATTAAACAAAGGACACAGATGGATTCATGACAGAATTGTGTTTTGGTGATGGTGATGTGTTTGTAGATCTTACTTTACTGAACATTCTTGATGCTTACAATTATCTCTATCTATAATGAACTTGGTCCAGTAGTTTCAGTTGAAATTATTTTGTAAAAATTTACAAAATTTATGAAAATTGTTAAAAATTGATTATAAAGGGCAATTACTCCTTAAGGGGTCAATTGACCATTTTGGTCATGTTGACTTATTTGTAGGTCTTACTTTGCTGTACATTATTGCTGTTTACAGTTTATCTCTATCTATAATAATATTCAAGATAATAACCAAAAGCTTCAAAATTTTCTTTAAATTACCAATTCAGGGGCAGCAACCCAACAACGTGTTGCCTGATTGGTCTGAAAATTTCAGGGCGGATAGATCTTGACATAATGAACAATTTTATCCTCGTCAGATTTGCTCTAAATTCTTTGGTTTCAGAGATATGAGCCAAAAACTGCATTTTACCCTATGTACTATTTTTAGCCATGTCGGCCATCTTGGTTCGCGGGTGGGGTCATTGGACACATTTTTTAAACTTGATACCCTAATGATGATTGTGGACAAGTTTGGTTAAATTTGTCTTAGTAGTTTCAGAGGAGAAGATTTTTGTAAAAGATTACAAAAATTTACGAAAAATGGTTAAAAATTGACTATAAAGGGCAATAACTCCTTAAGGGGTCAACTGACCATTTTGGTCAAGTTGACTTATTAGTAGATCTTACTTTGCTGAACATTATTGCTGTTTACAGTTTATCTCTATCTATTATCATATTCAAGATAATAACAAAAAACGGCAAAATTTCCTTAAAATTACCAATTCAGGGGCAGCAACCCAACAACAGGTTGTCCGATTCATCTGAAAATTTCAGGGCAGATAGATCTTGACCTGACAAACAATTTTACCTATGTTCTATTTTTAGCCATGGCGGCCATCTTGGTTGGTTGGCCGGGTCACCGGACACATTTTTTAAACTAGATACCCCAATGATGATTGTGGCCAAGTTTAGTTTAACTTGGCCAAGTAGTTTCAGAGGAGAAGATTTTTGTAAAAGTAAACGACGACGGACGCCAAGTGATGAGAAAAGCTCACCTGGCCCTTTGGGCCAGGTGAGCTAAAAATGAAAGGGAGCTCACGTCAATAGATATAAACAATTCACCAAAGTTTCATGCATATTGGTTGAAGTTTTTACGAGTTAATGTCCGACATGTTGACGACGGACGGTTGGACAGACGGTCAACCATAATATGTCCCGTAAACGGGGGTATAAAAAATAATGGCCAACATGGCCAAAGTCAACCAACTGCCATAAAAATTTTCAAATCTAACAGGTGATATAGCATGGGCAGGAGAATGTGATCATGATCATGATGATGATGACAAATAATCCTTCAAAATATGAAAAAAATCTGTCAAACAGTTTCTGAAAATTGTTGTATTTCTTACAGATGGACTTTGTCATGCTTAACATGCTTTTAAAATTCCTCTGAAATTTTATTCCTCAAACAAGAAAATCAATTTTAAAACAGTTATATACAAATATTTCAATAACATGAGTAAAAACTATATGTGTACAATGTACCTAGTTTCATGTGCACATTAAGCACAAACTGACTGCTGATGTAATGATTGTCTCTGTATAAGAGAAACTGATAAGTTCCTTTGTCAGCAGGTTGTGTGTCTTTTATTATAAGTCTTGCTTTCTTAAGGTCTGTAGAACTGCCATTAAATTTATCTAATGATAAATCTAAATCTTCAATTTTCCCTTTTTTAATGAACTGCCACTTGGCAGCAAAGTAGGAAGCATCAAGTGTTCCAATATTGCATTTAGCCACCAAACAAGCTGTTTTCCCATATTCTCCTTTTAATGGGCCTTTTAAATCTATTGTTGCTATGGGACCTGAAAATAGAAATGACAGTACATTAATCTGCTGTTTGCATGATAACTCTTGATGAGTTTTCCAGATAGATGGTTCATTTAGTTTCATTTTTGTGGTTCTGTACATTTTATCTTTTTTATCAAGTCAAAACTATTTGATACCTAAATCATCAAAATATATTCTACATAGTTTGATATTTACACCAGTCCTATATTTACAACTATTTTGTTTTAAATACATGTACTACTTTCCAGTATGTTTTTTTTTTACTGGGCCCAAATTGGTGGTGTTACAATTCTTACAAAGTCTACCCAAACTATTTTGCAAAGAATTCTGCTCAAACCAGTGCTAGGGGCCGTCTTAAACTTGCAGTGAGTTGAGAGTTTTCTTGCTCCATGTTGAAGGCCTTACTGTGATTTTGAGATGAGAACAGCAATAAAAGTGCTGTTCCTTTGCTTTTGTGTTTTTTTATTGCTGTGCATGTACTGATTTTGTGTCATGGATGGATACCCTACATCCTTAAAATTTGTTTTTCTAACATGTTTAAAATATATGCAATTAGGTATTACAGATTTTTACAAAATTTAGTATGCACTAACATGACTTAATTAGAACTTGTTGAACTTATCTATTTCAATTTATCAATCCTAATATATTTTAATTTTTTTCCCTAACCTATTTCAATTTATTTTCCCTATCTATAGCCAAGTATTCAAACATTTCCAGACATATTTCTGTATCTTATCAGCTCTCCTGTATGATGACATAAGTAAAATTAAATCGTAAACCAAAAAATGGATTATTCATTATAGAAGTTCAAGCTAGGGCTGTCAGACATGCATGTACACCTAACAATCATTCCATACACCAAATATAGTCGACCTTTTTCTTATAGTATCTGAGAAACTGAACAATCACAAAAACTTTTATCACAGGCAAGACAAAAACTTTTGTTTAGGTAGACATGGTAGAGCCCCCTTGTGAAAATAACTATTTTGGGTTAAATTTGAAACTATTTCAGAAAATGTGTCAAATATAACCCAAAGTATTTATTTTCACAAGGGGGCTCTACCATATCTTTGTTTAGGTAGACATGGTAAAGCCCTCTTTATGAAAATAACTACTTTAGGTTATATTTGACACATTTTCCGAATAGTTCCAAATGTTGAAATAAAAATGGCAAAAATCCATGGTTGACATGTCATAACATCTTAAGTATGAAAAACATACATCCACTTCATTTGAACTTTGGTTGAGATTTTACTTATTGGCAACAATACCACATCTCCTTATTTCTATAAAGTAGGAGATGTGCCCTGACTAAAGGTACAGAGTCACAAAATCTTCAAAAAATAAATAGAGAATGTGTCCCTGTCTCGGGCCGGGCATGGACACAGTTGATGCCCCCACTTGCATACAACATTATAAAGGGACATAACTCAAGAACGATAAAAGTGACGCAACCCAAATTTGTACTTGATCTGAGTTTTAAGGTAATAAGTATTGTGTATAGGTTTCATAATGTTTGGTTGGGGCAAACTTAAGTTGCAGAATGGAAACTAACAATTTTGCAATTTTTCAATTTTATAAAGGGGCATAACTCGATAATGATTAAAGTGACGCTACCAAAATTCAATCTTGATCTTTATTTTGTGGTAATAAGCATTGTGTACATGTTTCATAAAATTTGGTTGAGGCAAACTTCTTAGAGAACGAAAACTAAAGATTTTGCAATTTTTCCATTTATGAAGGGGCATAACTCTAGAACGGTTAGAGTGACGCTACCAAAATTCAAACTTGATCTGTATTTTGTGGTAATAAGCATTGTGTATAAGTTTCATAACATTTGGTTGAGGCAAACTTAAGTAAGAGAACAGAAACTAAAAATTTTGCAATTTTTCCATTTATAAAGGCGCATAACTCTAGAACGGTTAAAGTGATGACACCAAAATTCAAACTTGATCTGTGTTTTGTGGTGGCCCGAGAACACAGATATTTCGTAGTGCATTTCTTTTAGACAATAAATTCAAATTAAAAAAATCGCACCTGCTCTATCTAAAAAAGATTTTTACAGTGTAGTGTACTACTATTGATACAAATAATATCAAAATTATAGAAACTTCTACCAGCTCTAACTCAAAATATTGACTATTCTGTGTTAAGGGGGGCTAAAATTCAGTTTGACAGCTTCAGACATTATAATTTTTGACCTTTTTTAACTGGACCAAATCACTACTTAACATAAAGATTCAGCACCCAAATTTTTTTAACATGTAATTTCATCCCCTTACTTAATATTTCATGCATAAAATATCAAGAAATAAATTGGTAAAGTGTATCAAAAAAAAAAATGCAAGTTATACACTGTTCACACTAGGGACTATATTCGTAGACAACGAAAACCAAAGGACGATAACTGTGTCCTTGGACCTAATAGGATAGAAAGACTTGACAAATTTTAATAAAACTTTGCATGACCTAAGCTTAGGAAATTATATGATAGTTGGCCATGTTTCATGGCCATAGGATATATATTATAGAAACTAGGGCCATTTTAATATTGAAATTTGGATGTTTATTTTTGACGTTTAAATCAAATATTTACAACTGTCAAGATTTTGGCCTTAAAAATTTAAATATTGCAAAAATTTGCTTTTTAAATACTCTTGAATATAATATAATAAGTATTAAAAGCAACGGAACACTCATTTGATTCATCAGATTTATGACAGCTATTCAAAAGTCAAATTTATATGAGCCTGTGCCTGAAAATAGAGATTTTCGAATTAAGGGAAGCCTTACATAAATATGCATTTTTTTCAACCAATTTGAAGTTTTTGAAGTTTTTTAACCATACATTATTCTTTCATATATATTAAATGTACTTTAAATGTAAAGAAAAGTTACAAAAAACATACCACATGAGTATAAAATGGTCTTAGGCCATGTAAGACTGAGAATTATTTAGAGTCGATTTAGGCCGTAGCCAATATTTACATATAAAAATGCACACAGAGGCTTTAAGAAATGAAAATTTGTTACTTTTTGCTCATTTCTATGCTAAGATGTCATGATACAAGAAGTCTAATTGCAAAAGGACTCTTGAATTCAACTTTTTTGGCAGACAGTATGGTCTGATGACCAGTTTTTCACTTTTCAATGGAAAACTTGCATGTAGTTTTAGTCTCAATTGGCATATATTTGAACCACTTATTATCCTAAAGAAGAAAATTATGGTAGCATATGAAATGAATAGGGTGTACTGATCATTGTAAAGTGTTTTTTTTACAGATTTAGTGAAATATTTGTGATGGACTACAGATTTTATGTACAAAGCTCTTCACATTTCACATACATCAAACAGGCCGTTTAACCAGGGACATAAATACAAATATTCTGCACATTTTTTCTGTGATAATCTACTTTTCTCTAGATTCAGAGTTCACAAATGGTTAATTAAATTTGATTTAAGCATAGAAACACAAATATCAGGAACATAAAAAGCTATCAGATAGAAAGTCAGCATGGCTCTTAGGCATAAAATGGAAATGGCTTTAAAATGCTTATTTTAGCCGTATAAAATAAATGACAAAATGGGACATTTTAACAGAATTTCTGTCAAACAAAGATGTAAATCCTTTACTTTTATTGAGTTTGACAAATTGAAACCAGCAAACCATTCAGGAAAGTTGCCAAAGTACAAAATCTACATGTACGGAATTCATCTCTTAGGCCCGAGAACACAGTTATTTCGTAGTGCATTTCTTTTAGACAATAAATTCAAATTAAAAAAATCGCACCTGCTCTATCTCAAAAAGATTTTTACAGTGTAGTGTACTACTATTGATACAAATAATATCAAAATTATAGAAACTTCTACCAGCTCTAACTCAAAATATTGACTATTCTGTGTTAAGGGGGGCTAAAATTCAGTTTGACAGCTTCAGACATTATAATTTTTGACCTTTTTTAACTGGACCAAATCACTACTTAACATAAAGATTCAGCACCCAAATTTTTTTAACATGTAATTTCATCCCCTTACTTAATATTTCATGCATAAAATATCAAGAAATAAATTGGTAAAGTGTATCAAAAAAAAAATGCAAGTTATACACTGTTCACACTAGGGACTATATTCGTAGACAACGAAAACCAAAGGACGATAACTGTGTCCTTGGACCTGGTAATAAGCATTGTGTATAAGTTTCATAACATTAGGTTGAGGCAAACTTAAGTAAGAGAACGGAAACTAAAAATTTTGTAATTTTTCCATTTATAAAGGGACATAACTCTAGTACGGTTAGAGTGATGCTACCAAAATTCAAACTTGATATGTATTTGGTGGTAATAGGCATTGTGTATAAGTTTCATAACATTTAGTTGAGGTAAACTTAAGTTAGAGAACGGAAACTAAACATTTTGCAATTTTTCCATTTATAAAGGGACATACCTCTAGAACAGTTAAATTGATGTCACCAAAATTCAAACTTGATCTGTATTTTGTGGTAATAAGCATTGTGTATAAGTTTCATAACATTTGGTTGAGGCAAACTTAAGTAAGAGAACGGAAACTAAAAATTTTGTAATTTTTCCATTTATAAAGGGACATAACTCTAGTACGGTTAGAGTGATGCTACCAAAATTCAAACTTGATCTGTATTTGGTGGTAATAGGCATTGTGTATAAGTTTCATAACATTTAGTTGAGGTAAACTTAAGTTAGAGAATGGAAACTAAACATTTTCAATTTTTCCATTTATAAAGGAACATAACTCTAGAATGGTTAAAGTGATGCCACCAAAATTCAAACTTTATCTGTATTTTGTGGTAAATAGCATTGTGTATAAGTTTCATAACATTTGGTTGAGGCAAACTAAAGTTAGAGAATGGAAACCAATTTTGGGACGTATGGACGTACGTACGTACAGACGGTCAAGGGTAAAACTTAATGCCCCCTCCGCTACAGCGGGGACATAAAAAAACATTTGCTAATGCTTAAACAAATGCATACCAAATATCATTGACTTATCATAAGGGGTTACCCTTAAACTGACCTTATCACAAACGTAACATGTAAACCAAGCACATGTTTTAAAGTCAATAGACAATTAAGGCCTGATTTACAAGGAAACAATAAAGGAAAAAACAAATATGACACACACCAACCAATGACAGCCACTGAATTATTATGTCTGTTTGTTTTTTTTCACACATTGTTGTCAATATAATGGAATTTTATAAGACTGTCATACAAGTGGGAGGTTTAGCTAGCTTTAAAACCAGGTTTATTCCACCATTTTCTACATAAGCAGAGGCGGGTCCAGGTAAGGGCGTAATGGGCGTACGCCCCCCTCTTTTCAAAAAAAAAAAAAAACAAAAAAACTATCGTTATCTGCTTATATTGTATTGAATACAAAATATCATATTCATTAATTAAACACATACTCTGATTTCTTTTTATACTGATTCCCCCATCCGATGGGTGACTTGGACACCTTTTTTACGAAAGCGGTAAGTAAATCTATACATGAAATGGTTGTTTTGTGTGACACTTCCCCAATGGCCATTCTACATCTACCCGGGGGATACTCGCTATAGATATGATACCGGGTATGTTCCGACAAACGGGGTTGCATTTTCAGCTAAATTGTCTGAAATGGGGTTATGTTTTTTCGCCTTGCATTGGAAGGGGTCAGATTTGACTATCTAGAACGGGGTATTATAAATACAATGTTACACTATTGTTTCAGATAAGGGTGAATGTTTGGTACCATTCAAACGTTTAAACCCGCTGCAACTGTTTGCACCTGTCCTAAGTCAGGAATCTGATGTTCAGTAGTTGTTGTTTGTTGATGTGGTTCATAAGATTAGACCGTTGGTTTTTCCCGTTTGAATGGTTTTACACTAGGAATTTTTGGGACCCTTTATAGCTTGCTGTTCGGTGTGAGCCAAGGCTCCGTGTTGAAGACCGTACTTTGACCTATAATGGTTTACTTTTATAAATTGTGACTTGGATGGAGAGTTGTCTCATTGGCACTCATACCACATCTTTTTATATCTACTAAATTAAAGACAACGTTCAAACCTATGATTGCGTTGGATAAAAACCGCAATTTTTAAACGTGTACATGCAAAACAAATTTCTTGGTAAATGGGTTTAAATACAGCACAATCAACATTTTCCAAAAGACCAAAACAGTGAAAAGGTTTATTTTAACAAAACGGGTATATATATATATATATATATATATATATATCAAAAGTTCAGAAAAAGCTATCGTTAAAGATTTATTTTTCATGCCCATTTCATATAACCTTTTAACTGAATTTACAACTTCTTCCAAAGATGCAAAGATTTGATATCCACATGTTAATCAATACATAATTTGAATGATCCGAAGGCAGACTATTTTCACCAATTTGTCTATCATGGAGTCTGTTATAATACTTCATAATTTGATGCTAAATTGTTGAAATCCAGGAGCTTCTGACTTTCCCCATGGACCCTATACCAGGCAACCGGAATTACGCCTCCTGTTCATAAAATCCTGGCCTAGGACTATTGAAATGTAAAGTAACGCCCTATACCCTAGAATTTGGAATTTCTCGTTATTGGTCTACTGCTGTTAAGATCCATCCAATCATTTTAATATACCATAGACAATTAATGGAGAGAATTTGGCATAAAAAATATCAAACCCTGACACTTTAACTATAGAATATACATGCTCCAAGTCAGGAACCGTTACATTAGTGCATTTCACAATTATTTTATGTTTTTTAGCCAAAAAAGGTCCAAAAAATTTTCGCCTCGATCCGCTCGGCGAAATATTGTAATCTACGCCCCCTCTTTCTAATATCCTGGAAACACCCCTGATAAGGAATTTGCCTGTACCAAGTCAGGAATATGACAGTTGTTCATGTGTTGTTTTCCATACTTTTGATGTGTTTGAGCTTTTGACATGTTTGATTTTGCCATTTGATACATTTGTGATAAGTGACTTAAATTTCCTGGTTTAAATTTTCCTTGGAGTTCGGAATTTTTGTTATTTTACTTTTTACATGACGTAGGCTGTTGATCATGTTAGTAGTATTCTTGTTGGTAGCAGCACTGCATGGTGTTTTTTTTTATTGTGTTTTAGTTTTAGCACCAATGGTCTAGATATGCAAAGGAGGACGTTAATGTGCATGTAAAATTGGTTTAACGCAAGGGGGTCTCTTCCTATATAAAGGTATACACAGCTGGAATGTCAAATATATCAATTTGGTGATATTTCACGGAGGTAATATAATAATGGGTAGACATTTCAATGTCAATAGGTCATAAATTTTCATCTTCTGTTAAGATGTCTGTCAAAACTGTTCTGATCTAATATTTATTACAATGTATTATAATACATGTAATATGAATGATCCAATATGGTTAAAGCCTAAATAATATGTAGCCTAAATAAGATGTCATGATAGCTGGGAAATATATATAATTGGGTTGTGATTTTCTTATGAAATATATGAATGGGTATAGGGATTTTTGCATAAATCAATATATAAATGGGGGGCGGTTTTCAAACCTCAGCCAGACGTCTGTACGGTGTACCCAAATTTGTATGACCATATGTTGTTAATTGTCATGTGTGTTTTTTTCCAGAGAAGGTGTTGGTGGTTGAGGTTGTGACAGGTCTGTTGTACCATAGATGTATAAACCCATAGATAAAGCTCGTCAAAAGTTCCCTACTGTTCTCTATTGTTAGATAAAAAGAACCAAGAGTATGTCTATTTTTAGCGCACTGGACAGACAAATAAAATGGTGAAAAAATGGATGAAATCGGTCAGAAATTGCGCATTTTACAAGAAAAATATTGAACTGAATTAAAAAATGTTTATTTAAGGCTTGTATCTTTATATTTTATAAAAACTATGTTCCTGTTAGTTCCTGAAAATGGGAATAGCACGTTGTTGAACTTCTAAAATACACCTTCTCTTTGATATGCTTCATTAAGGTGTCGAACTGCGTCGAATTTGGGAAAAAAATAATAAGAAAGTACATTCTTTTCTTTATATATCAGTTTTTCTACATTTTTAGAAGATAAATTGTCTTTCTAAATCATTTTTATATTTTTACGAATAAGTTAGCTACTAAATGATCATAGATGTTTATACATCTATGGCTAAATTATAATAATTTCATTCATGATGTTTATTAAATTAGTTTAAGTAAAGAATTTTAGTGTACTACCAAAACATTCCATGTAAAGCATGGTAAATAAATATTATAGAGCATATATTCAACTTTTTCCATGTTTTCTATTAATTATATTTTCAATAGACTTATTTATAATAGTTAACATACATTGTTTCGATAAAGTTAAATTGATAAAAGATATAAAATTTAAAAATGTAAATATGATGAAAACATTAGTTCTGGCTAAAAAAAAGATATCCACATGTATTAATTTCTTTTCGAGAATAATTTGTAATATTGTTTTACCTACAAGAACATTATTTTTTCATAACCAAGTCATTCTAAAATATATATTTTGATTTTATTTCTTTCTGATTTTTTGCATGTTTAACTGCTAAGTAGCTTTTGATTGTCAGTTTTCTATTGTCTAGATTGTCAATTGGCATCTCAATGACCAACTGGTTCATGTCATTATCAGATAAGTGTGAAAGCCATTACAACGCACATAGAACCTTTGAAGTCAGTGTTGAGCTTCATCTATGGGTTTATACATCTATGGTTGTACTGTGAGGTGGTTGAGGTTGTGACAGGTCTGTTGTACTGTGAGGTGGTTGAGGTTGTGACAGGTCTGTTGTACTGTGAGGTGGTTGAGGAGGTGACAGGTCTGTTGTACTGCGAGGTGGTTGAGGAGGTGACAGGTCTGTTGTACTGCCAGGTGGTTGAGGAGGTGACAGGTCTGCTGTACTGCGAGGTGGTTGAGGAGGTGACAGGTCTGTTGTACTGTGAGGTGGTTGAGGTTGTGACAGGTCTGTTGTACTGCAAGTGGTTGAGGTTGTGACATGGTCTTTTGTACTGCGAGGTGGTTGAGGTGACAGGTCTGTTTTACTGCGAGGTGGTTGAGGAGGTGACAGGTCATGTTGTACTGCGAGGTGGTTGAGGTGACAGGTCTGTTGTACTGCGAGGTGGTTGAGGTTGTGACAGGTCTGTTGTACTGTGAGGTATTTTTGGCAATTCTTACTTTTTACTTACAAGTAAATGCATAAACATTTTACAAGTGTCACTCCAAATGTTGGCTTGTCAGCCTCCCCCTTTCAAAATCCTGGATCCACACCTGATCCACATTATTCGCATGTACTCAAATACAATTCAGTTATTCCTCTTCACGTTTTCTGATTTCTTACCTTGGATTTTTGGAGTTGTATCTGATGCAGAGTGCTTCCTCTTCAGTGTACCATGGGAATTACATGGAGCTTCTGGCACATCCATTCCTATAAAAATTCATTTTATTTTTAGACAAAAGTTTACTATTGGTCATGATCAGTATACTTCTTGGTGTCATTATGGCACAGGGCGTCAGTCGGGAAAGGGTGGGCGGAATTTTGGAAATCTTTATTGTATAAACAGAATTACCTCAAAACAGGCATTCAAATGAGTTAAAAGGGTATTTAAGTACATACATACTCATTCAAACAATATAGTACATGTAGTAGATTAAAAACTATTTTGATATGAAAAAAGTGATGCGAAAACTGTGTTGATTTGATTGGCTTCTTCATGCAGCATCATGAGTCAATATTTAATACAACATTTTCATTGGCTATTCATTAGGTCATTGAATTTGATGACTTTCAAAGACTACATGTAAGACAAGTACATGTACATTTCGTCCATGTCAATGGACATAAGTGATTTCTTCTTCAATAATATAAAGGTGCCTAATATATAAAACACTATCACTTTTCATCTGAAAATCTTCTTTTTGTCTAATTTTTTGTCAGGCGTTAAAGCTTGACGCTGGAACAGGACATATGACATCATACTGGTATGTCAATGTATGTGCAAAAGACTTGATCAATGATTCATGGAATTTTTTGTTTACACAATGAGTGTGTTGACCATAAGAGAAATAGATTTAACAACTCATGAGAATTGGATACTGCTCGATACCAACTCCCATTATTTTATTTAATCTAAATAGCAATAATACAGGAGCATGAACAATCATTTATAATTATTATTACAATAATAATTATAAACTTAATATCTGGGGTTGATATCATCATATCAAGCAATATCCAATTCTCACTTGTTATGAAACCTGTAATTCCCCAACTGTCTGCAATAATCATGGTGATGAGTGAAATATACACCTTTCAATCTAGTCCAAATAATTATGACGTCGGTTGTTTTTAATTTTTTTCTGTGACACCTTCCATGCCTTCCTACCGGTTATTTTTTCTGTGAGCGTCACAGAAAAAAATTAAAATTAGCCTTTCAACTTATTCAAGACGTCATAATTATTTGGACTACGTCTCGGTTTCAATCTACAAAAATTATGTAATATAAATAGTATTGGATTATGTAATAAATAAAATTGGATTATGCAGAGACATATATACACATATATGTATATATACATATACATATGTGTATATATGTCTCTGGATTATGTAAGATAACATTAGATTATGCAATCAATCTTATATGGGAAAGGATTTCTATATAATTCCTTTGTCAATGGACATATGGTGTTACTGAACAACAAAATACTTGTAAGTTGTATTTAAAAGAAGCGCCAATAATTTTAGGTCAATATTATTATTATAGGAACTCACTGAAATTTTGTATCTTAAAATCGAATAAGAACACGAAGAAAAAAGCGTTCCATCATCTCCTTGAAAACATTCTTTGTAAAATCAAAACAACCTTACCAAACGCACAAATTGGCAATGGTACACTTCATAACTTTTTTGAATTTTCCAGACGCGTCTGTTTTAGGATAAAAATAGAAAGGGTTATTTGTTTTACAATTAATTATAAAATTAATTCCGGTAAAGGACAAGTTTGATTCCCGGTAGGCATTTTTTTTATCTTTTAATTTCTGAATCCGCGCCTATAATTAGTGTCCTGATTATACTGTAATGCTAAATTATAAGCCTTCGAGTGATCTTATTTACCTCTGTCTCATATTTAAATACAATACAATACACTAACAAAATGTAATTATCACTATAATCTCAGCTACAAGACCAAAAAGAAAGATTAAAACATGATGACAACGGAAGATTTTTTATTTCCAATAAATGGGCTCAGAAAGAGCATATTTAATATAAGACATTATCCAAACAACAACAACAAATAATAATAATTATCTTTATTGTCATATAAAAAAATTAAACATGTTTGTGTCACAGTGACACAAAAATAGCATACATGCACTCCGTGAGTCAAATTTATGCGTTTTGTTAAAATATACTTTTTCACTTTTTTGGTCTTTCGGAAAATGTTGTTTGAGCTGTATTTAGACCCCTCTACCAAGAAATTTGTTTTACATGCACACGTATAAAAATTGCGGTTTTTATCCAACGCAATCATAGGACTGGTTTGAACGTTGTTTTCAATATAGACTTTCTTATATTTTTTCGTTTGAGCTTGTTTTATATTTGCCTTCGGGTTTATACGATCCGTTCATCCTATTTCGACTCTTTCAAAATTCAAGAGTCTATCCTAAATTAAGGTAAATTATATGGCCTTACAAATACCGTTTCGATTCCTAACATCACTGAAGAGACATTAATTGTCGAAATCCGGATATGGTGTACAAATTTTTGCACCTCATGTTTGTGGTATACCATCTTTTCCGCAAGTTTATTGTTTTCTGTTTGGTAAAACATTAAGTATAAGATCCATTTTGTTACATATTGTGATCCGTTTATTTGGCAATCGCCAATGGCAGTCAGCAGGGTTTAAGAACATTAGTTGTTCAACCTGCTAGTCAAATGCGTTTTGTTAAAATATACTTTTTCACTTTTTTGGTCTTTCGGAAAATGTTGTTTGTGCTGTATTTAGACCCCTCTACCAAGAAATTTGTTTTGCATGCACACGTATAAAAATTGCGGTTTTTATCCAACGCAATCATAGGTTTGAACGTTGTTTTCAATTTAGACTTTCTTATATTTTTTCGTTTGAGCTTGTATTTATTTGCCTTCGGGTTTATATAATCCGTTTATCCTATTTCGACTCTTTCAAAATTCAAGAGTCTATCCTAAATTAAGGTAAATTATATGGCCTTCCAAATACCGTTTCGATTCCTAACCGAGATCACTGAAGAGACATTAATTGTCGAAATCCGGATATGGTGTACAAATTTTTGCACCTCATGTTTGCGGTATACCATCTTTTCCGCAAGTTTATTGTTTTCTGTTTGGTAATACATTAAGTATAAGATCCATTTTGTTACATATTGTGATCCGTTTATTTGGCAATCGCCAATGACAGTCAGCAGGGTTTAAGAACATCAGTTGTTCAACCTGCTAGTCAAATACGTTTTGTTAAAATATACTTTTTCACTTTTTTGGCATTTCGGAAAATGTTGTTTGTGCTGTATTTAGACCCCTCTACCAAGAAATTTGTTGTGCATGCACACGTATAAAAATTGCGGTTTTTATCCAACGCAATCATAGGTTTGAACGTTGTTTTCAATTTAGACTTTTTTATATTTTTTCGTTTGAGCTTGTATCATATTTGCCTTCGGATTTATATGATCCGTTCATCCTATTTCGACTTTTTCAAAATTAAAGAGTCTATCCTAAATTAAGGTAAATTATATGGCCTCCCAAATACCGTTTCGATTCCTAACATCACTGAAGAGACATTAATTGTAGCAATCCGGATATGGTGTACAAATTTTTGCACCTCATGTTTGCGGTATACCATCTTTTCCGCGAGTTGATTGTTTTCTGTTTGGTACGTAATACATTAAGTATAAGATCCATTTTGTTACATATTGTGATCCGTTTATTTGGCAATCGCCAATGGCAGTCAGCAGGGTTTAAGAACATCAGTTGTTCAACCTGCTAGTCAAATGCGTTTTGTTAAAATATACTTTTTCACTTTTTTGGTCTTTCGGAAAATGTTGTTTGTGCTGTATTTAGACCCCTCTACCAAGAGATTTGTTTTGCATGCACACGTATAAAAATTGCGGTTTTTATCCAACGCAATCATAGGTTTGAACGTTGTTTTCAATTTAGACTTTCTTATATTTTTTCGTTTGAGCTTGTTTTATATTTGCCTTCGGGTTTATACGATCCGTTCATCCTATTTCGACTCTTTTAAAATTCAAGAGTCTATCCTAAATTAAGGTAAATTATATGGCCTTCCAAATACCGTTTCGATTCCTAACATCACTGAAGAGACATTAATTGTCGAAATCCGGATATGGTGTACAAATTTTTGCACCTCATGTTTGTGGTATACCATCTTTTCCGCAAGTTTATTGTTTTCTGTTTGGTAATACATTAAGTATAAGATCCATTTTGTTACATATTGTGATCCGTTTATTTGGCAATCGCCAATGGCAGTCAGCAGGGTTTAAGAACATTAGTTGTTCAACCTGCTAGTCAAATGCGTTTTGTTAAAATATACTTTTTCACTTTTTTGGTCTTTCGGAAAATGTTGTTTGTGCTGTATTTAGACCCCTCTACCAAGAAATTTGTTTTGCATGCACACGTATAAAAATTGCGGTTTTTATCCAACGCAATCATAGGTTTGAACGTTGTTTTCAATTTAGACTTTCTTATATTTTTTCGTTTGAGCTTGTTTTATATTTGCCTTCGGGAAAAATTTATACGATCCGTTCATCCTATTTCGACTCTTTTAAAATTCAAGAGTCTATCCTAAATTAAGGTAAATTATATGGCCTTCCAAATACCGTTTCGATTCCTAACATCACTGAAGAGACATTAATTGTCGAAATCCGGATATGGTGTACAAATTTTTGCACCTCATGTTTGTGGTATACCATCTTTTCCGCAAGTTTATTGTTTTCTGTTTGGTAATACATTAAGTATAAGATCCATTTTGTTAAATATTGTGATCCGTTTATTTGGCAATCGCCAATGACAGTCAGCAGGGTTTAAGAACATTAGTTGTTCAACCTGCTAGTCAAATGCGTTTTGTTAAAATATACTTTTTCACTTTTTTGGTCTTTCGGAAAATGTTGTTTGTGCTGTATTTAGACCCCTCTACCAAGAAATTTGTTTTGCATGCACACGTTTAATTCTTCGCTATTATACTGTTAGCTCTGCAACTCATTTTTAATTAGTTTATTATTATACTGCGTTCCATATTTATTTATTAACTCAAATGTTTAGCTTAAATAAATTGCTTCTTTTTTTTAAATCTAGCGCTTATTAACCGCTGCTGACTTGCTGTCAGATGACTACTAGAGGCGCTTGCCACATGAGCTGCTGATATTTTTTTTGTCAAACAGTACTAGTTCTATTTAATTTTTTTATATAAGATTGCTAGAAATCTGAAATTTTGATTGTTGCTTGGCTTTATTCTATTGTATGCTTTATATGTGCCTGATGCTTTGTTTTATTTGTTTTGTATACGTTTTATATTCGGTGAAAAGCTTACCAGACCTTATTTTTGTATGTTTTATGCTATGCCGAATCAAAATAAAGATTTCTATTCTATATATTCTATTCTAAAGGGGATAGCTCCTAAGTAATTTATTCATTAGTCCATCTCTTTCTTGGGGAATGCAGTAGCTTCGACAATTTGTGGAATAAAAATATGATATATCTGTGTCTTCATTGCTTAAACACGTTAAAAGCCTTTTTTTCATCTGAAAGTTTACTTCAATTCTTCTTCTTATCATTTATTTGGTCAAAGTATGGTTTCATACTGATTGGACGTTGAATAAAAAAATGGATTTCATATTCAAAATAGAATTCCTACATATTCTAGCTTCTCAGACAGATTGCAAGTACCATACTCAATCCAAATATTATATTAACATATTTTTAAAGCAAACTTGATAATCTGATGGATAAACTAGACATATGTATAAGCATTATTGGTTATATCAGAAGTCCATTACTAGAGCCCTAGTAATGGACTTCTGGTTATATTGAATGAACTCGCCCCTTTATCTTTGAGAAACTGATGTAGACAATGAAATTAAAGCTTTCTGTTTACCATCACGTACAACTTATTGGACACAGCCGTAATATTGTATTAAATTTGGTCAACTGAAAAAAGCTTACAACAAATCTAACACAAAATTCAGGAAGACATGCTTTAAAAAATGAATATTATATACATCATAAGTTATTTCAGAGCTACAGAAATATATCCTTTTTATCCTAATGCTATTCGAAAAGAAGCTTATGGTCCATCAAAAACATCTGAATGTGCAGAGGATGATAACACATCGTCTTAGTGCGAAGAGAATTAAACTGAATCTGAAGACGTCAAATAAACGATTGACGGGAAGGAGTGCAACATTCAAGAACACAGCTGTTGAGCTGCTGCAGCATTTACAGGAATTAGTTAAGGTCTGTAAGCGAAGCGTGGACACATAATCTGTAATTTGATCAGATTGCCCAAAGTGAATATTATTGTTCAGACTATGATGACGATTTTAGTGATTATGAATCTGATAATGAGGACTGGATCAAGTGCATAAAATATGGTTATTGGTACCATGAATCATGTACTTGAAATTTTGACGTAAACAAGGAAATAAAAAGAAGAAAATGCATACGTATATGTCGTATATATAAAAACTATATATATATATATGTTTTATCCAACGCAACCATAGGTTTGAACGTTGTTTTCAATTTAGACTTTTATATATTTTTTCGTTTGGGCTTGTATTATATTTTCCTTCGGGTTTATATGATCCGTTCATCCTATTTCGACTCTTTAAAATTCAAGAGTCTTTCCTAAATTGAGGTAAATTATATGGCCTTCCGTTTCTATCCCTAAC